ATGGCTCCTGCCCCCCCCACTTAGGAGTATACGGAGGCAATACGGCCAGATCTCGTCTTAATGAATTACAGTCTTAATGGATTACAGTATCAAAAAGTGACGCAATGCCCGCGAAAATGGCGTTGCCCGAACGGACACCGGGCGCCTGCGTCTACAACGTCGTCACGTCGAAATAACGCGCGTCCGGACGAACGCACGAGACGAGCCAACTCGCGGACACGCGTCGGGAGGAAGCGATAGCACAGTCAAAGTCGGCAACACTTTCAAAAATATACGATTGTCAGCACCCGATCCGAAACGCGTCCGCCGCGGTCGAGTGGTTCTTCAGAAGAACTCGCATGCTATGCTTCAGTGTATTCCAACTGAATTCGCAATCTGATTGATCCTCTTCTTCTTCTTTTGGTTTCCCCTTGATTGGTTTTCTGACTCAGATATAGAGTCGCAGTACCATGGAGAAATAACGGATCTGTATGATCCAATGAATAACCCCCTCGGGAAGCAGAGGTCTCATCTGATTGATCAACTCAATCGTTAATAACTCGGTAAATAAAGATCTGGGCCAAAATTGGAAAAGGAACGTTTAGTTCAAAATTTCATCCTCTCACTCCCAGACATATTAATTGAGAGTTATGGACACCCTGTATATGTATATACACAGGGTGCGTTCCGATAAGCATTGGCTACGTTTACACCGTGCATTTAGGCCGCGACCTATACAATAGACGTCCTTGTTTATCCTGTACATTAAACAAAGACATCTATCGTATAGGTCGTGGACTAAGCGCACGGTGTAAACGTAGCCAGTGCCAATGCTGAAACTATACAGTATAGGTTACGTGCACTATATAGATTTTCAGCACTGGCAGTAAATATCGGAACGCACACCTACATACATACATGCATACATGCATGCATACTATATTTATGGTCTTTTGAAATGCGCGCCAAAATTTTTTCGGAATTTTAAAACGCAGGGCTGCGTTCCGAAATTACGCCTAGGCTGCGTTCCGTTTCACGCATGATGCATGTTATTTACCCATGTTATTCACCGAGTGTTATGACTCCTGCACACTGGACACGGAAAAGCTTACCGCGCGGCAAAATGCGACGCGATAACCAATAAACATGTTAGGAGTTGTAAGCTTATTGGCTACCGCGTCATATTTTGCCGCGCGACAAGCGTTTCCGCGTCCAGTGTGCAGGAGCCATTAAACAAGGATAAATGATGCATTATGCACATCACGCGTGAAACGGAGCGCAGCCCTAAATAACTCTAGGGCTGCGTGCATTTTTATGCTATAATATACGTAACGTAACCTATAGCTTAGAGTTATCTGGGCGTATTTCCTGAACGCAGCCCACACACACACACACACACACAGCAGAATAGATATTACTGTAGTAATATCACAAATAAATTTGATGCTCAATAGGCATCCACTAAAGATATCTTGGTATGCTGGAAATCTGTAAATAAATTTATTGCGAAAAATATCTTGGCAATAAAATTATTATATTTATCAATAGCCTATCTTATTACGTAATGAATTGCTATTATTATTATTTAACGTTCTCTGTGAAGTTCTTATTTTATCTTAGATAAAATTTTAGTTTAATGTTTCTTATTAGGGTCCTAGTCCATCACAACAGGTACAAGATGACGACGAGATCGAACCTGAACTTGCTAAATATCTAAATCGTAAGTATTGGGAACAAAGGCAAACTGCAAACGAAGATCATGGATCGATTGAACATGGATCAAGAGTAGATGTGACTAGTCCGTCTGCACCTAATATAAGCAGTCCAATGCCTCAAAAATTAGTACTAGTAAAACAGGAAAATGGCGAAATCGATACTCAAATGGAAGAATTCGTAAGAGGTTTAAGATCTCAAGTTGAAATTTTCGTAAATAGAATGAAAAGCAATTCCTCGAGAGGCAGATCTATTGCTAATGATAGTTCAGTTCAAACTTTATTTATGAATATAACAGCTATGCATTCCAGGTATGTTCTAAATCAAACCATTAATTTTATTTTTAATATATTGGATTTTTTATTTTAATCACAGAAAACAATGATTTTTTTTTTGTAGACTATTAAGATATATTCAAGAACAAGATGATAGTAGAGTGTATTATGAAGGCTTGCAAGATAAATTAACTCAGATGAAAGATGCTAGAGCTGCTTTAGACGCTCTT